ATTAACTATACTTTTTAATGACACAACACAAAATGACTACTTTGCATTTCTAAATCTCGTTTTCTGAAGTTCTTTTCTGCCATAGTCTCATAACTGTAAGAAAACAGCTAGGGAGGAATGTTTTTTAATTCCTAAACTTTCTATGGTTTCTATGATACTATATATTAATTTTTATGGTCAGCTGAAATTATAAGTGCTTTAATTTTGAAAAACTGAAGCTATAATGAAAATAATCAGTATGACAAATGTAATTGTGTGGCACACACCCAAGCAAGTTACTTGTCCACCTGGCACTCAAATTTTAGACATTAGTGGACCTCACGAGTTTTCTAGTGCCTACTTCTATAACCCTAAAACAATGAATGTACTAACAGTAACTGTTAACATCCTGAAATATATACTAGAAGGAAACGTATTATGTAGTAAAATAATATGAAACCTTATTCTATCAGTAATGACAAATAGTAATGCGTTTGAATGAATAATCTGAACCATATCCCAAAGAGCAATAAAGTTTCTTTCTGATTGTATATACCAACGTTCTTAATCTTGTCTGTGATCAGGACCCCCAAATCCTAGGAAAACTAGGAGGAACCATTTCTTTAAAAAAAAATACACAAAGTTAAAATTTTGCATAAAATTTCAAGAGCTCCCTGGTCTCCTGAACTTCCTCAGGGTCAAGCCACCCAATTTTTCAAAAAATGTTTGTCATGCAGAGCCTGGCCCTTACACTATGAATTTGCTTTATGTTTCTGATACACAAGACAATTATTCAGCTATTATTAATAATAAAGTAAATGTCAAAAATGGGGTTTATAATGTTACCTACAAAAAATATACAAGAGGACTGGGCATGGTGGTGTATTCCTGTAATCCCAGCACTCCAGAGGCTGAGGCAGGAGGACTGCCTCAAGTTTGAGGCCAGCCTGGGCTAACGAGTAAACTCAAGGCCAGCCTGAACTACACAGGCTGTCTCAAATAAATAAATAGATAAACATTATATATACACACACACATACATATATGCACATACACACTTGAGAATATAATGCATATAAAATAGAAATATAGTTGGAAAAAATATTGCACAAACAGCTCTGGATGCAAATTCTCAAGAGACAGCAATTAAATTCCGATCACTTTCCAAGTTCTAAAGTAGTATCGTCTCTTTTACTTAAATAACTAGTGTAACGGTGTGGAATGGCTTTCTTTAAAACAATCTTATTTGGCTTCTAAAGATCAACAACTTCAAGAGATAACTAAAACAATTCACCTTAAGGGCACTGTTTTCAGATCATGTATGCCAGAACCTTTCAATCCAAGACACTGATACATAACTTTCTTCTAAAACCTAAGGAACATTTACAAATCTGAATAACTTAGACAAACACACCCCAGGTGTTCCTTTGCATTGCAAACAACCACTTGCTTAGAAGAGCAAAATGTTGATGAAAATTTCAAATTGCAAAGAAAACTGTGACAGTCATGTTTGAAATATTATTTTTAAATGTATCCTTTCATGGAATCTTTTTACATATACAATTTGCACTGAAACTTGCTTTGTCTAAAGTTGAAAGATGTATTTAATACTCCATTTATATGCAAACTCATGCAAGTGTGCCTTTAAAAAGACAAGCAATTCTTAGCTATGTGTTAATAAACAAGCAGAGAAATACATAATACTATACTAAACTGCTAAGCTGCAAAGTAGCTGAAATCATCTGTCCTCCAACAGGGAAAGAATAGAAAAGGGTATCTGTACAGCATAAAGAAGAACAAAGGCCCACACACAGGTAAGCCAGGGAGTGCATATTAAATGCTACAAGAAAAGTGACCCCGAAGAGAAGCCACCAAAGTAGTCCAGCACAGCGAACCCAATTATTGCAATAGTTCAGTCCGGCTATGTCGGCCCAGAACAATGTGCTACGAACACTAGGGATTCAGTATTGTTTTATAAAACTGAAAGTCATTCACACAGGAATTAAAAGAAAAACATGACAGAACTCCCTCTACACTGAATTTACTTCTGTGTGTTTTACATGTGTTTTTTGTATACTCTTTTTCTGTAGATATTCAAAAATGTATCAGCTGAATGTATAGTCTTCTTCTAGCTAATCAGTAGGTAAATTATTTAGTTATTTTCTAGTAGGATTTATACAATCATAGTAGTCTGGAAGAATCCTCAGGGATCAGCAAAACAACGTTCCATTTCATCTATGAGAGAACTGGATCCCAGGTACACGGACGGGTTTCTGGATGTTAAGTAACTCGCCCAATGTGACACACTGTTATTGGAAAAAAAGAGGACAAAACCAGTCAACGTGCTCAAAAGCCTGAGTTCTCTATGTCCCTTTCTTACCTAAGGATATCACCAGTATATAATCGTTGCCAATATTTTATTTGCCACACCTTATTGTGTTGAATACTGTCTTTAACTTACACAACTATAAGAAATAAGTATTATCTCCATTTAAACGTTCAGCCAGGGTTGGAGATGTAGCTTTGTGCTAAGCCCACCATGCACAAGACTGAGTTCAGCGACCTCCAAAACCACAAAGAAAATTAAGCAAAACAGAAGTCACAATAGTAGTACATGAAATACATGAGTTAGGATTCAAAACTTCATATTTATCTGATTCAAAGCCATAAACTTTTCAACTGTTGATCATTAAATACTCTAAAACGATAGTCTGTAATTTCTAAATATATCTGAATTTCAATTTATAAACTAAAAAACTATATCTGAAGTTAAAATATTTTAACAGCTTGGGTGGGATACAGCACAACTGGCAAGAGTGTTTGTTTAGAATGCCCAAGTTTCTGGGCTCAAAAAATAAAATACACTACAAAAAATAAAAATAAAAACATTTTAACAATTAAAATCATGCATGCCTAATTTTCACTCTGCTTCTTAGTGTCAGGTGTGTCTACTGAATTAAATGAATCACTGGTGAAAGAAAACCATTGCCACTATAAAGTACAGAAATTCAAAGAGAAAAATTAAGAGTCATTAGACACATAAGGTGGGTTTGCCATGGAAAAAACTGGATAGATCAATTCCCAAGGGTGGCATCCAATATATCTAAAAACCAATTCTGTCACTACTCTTAAAGTTAGATTTACATCAATAAAGTATATTAAGAGTAATTTACAAAATCAGAATGACAGTTTAATTATAAGAAAAAAATTATAATGTAACTAGAAAATTTCAATCTGAAAGACTAGCACATTTTCTCCCTGCAGACAAAATTACATGGCAAGTCAAACAGCAGTCAGAAGGTGCTTAATGCTTAGAACAATAAGATGAAAGGATGTCTTCATGGCCGTTCAGGTTATCAGGTTAAAGGAGAATGACTAGCTTATTCATTTCCCCAACAAAAATAGTACTTTCAGTGGCCAAAATACCAGCAGAATAGGTCTGCTGAGTATCCCGCCTCCCCTGAGTCATATATACTGCCCCTAAGTCTTCTCAAGAATTCCTGGGCAAAGGAACTGATCATGACTATTTCATGACCTTCGTTAAATTTATACACTGCTATGAGGGTACACTGAACGTACTTTGCGCTAGGAGCCATCTTGTTTTTAAGGTTATTTTTTACGCTGCCCTCATAGAAAACAGTGATTTCACTGCCTCAGAAACCAATGTTATTTACAAGTTCTAGTCCTGCCCTAAGACCTAGTAAGTTAATATTTTAGTGATTATTTGTTAGTTTAGACTAAGTGCTTTATATCTCTTTTAAGTGCTTTATATTTCTTTTAATTATGGCCACAACTCTGTATGGTAGCATTAGTTTCATGATATAGGAGAAAATGCTAAAATTTCAAAGAGAAAGTCACCCCAAAGTCACACAGCTATTGAGGGGAAATAACAGAATTTGAATCCAGCTGGACTCCAGAGATGATGCTCCATAAAACACTTTTCCCGTTGCTAGTTCTAAATTGCATCTGAAGGTTAAAAAATAAAGAAGCTTCTGAGAAAAACTGTATTTATTATTCTCTTATTTTGTTTGAAATTTTATTTTTTCATTAAAAAAGGCTTTTGGCGTAGTATTCAAACTACTACATTTTCTTATAAATAAAATAAACTCAGGCAAGCTGCTAAAATTAATTCATTCACTGCAGAAAGTTTACTGAGTGTCCACTATGTGCCAGCACTGCCCTCAGCAGTGACGAAAACAACGCCTCTGCTCTCTTGGAGCTGACATAGTTGAAGGGGAAGGAGGCAGAAAAGAGATTTTTAAACAGCAAGTAAATACAGCGCCTCCTTGGCAACCAAGGTCCTGAGTTCAATTCCTGGTACAAAAAAATATAAATAAATGCTATTAGGAGAAATGGGGGAAAATAAATCAGGTTAGGAAGGTAAATGTAAGGCAGAAGAGGAGGAAAGTGAGGGCTGCGTTACCAAGTGAAGCCCAGCCTTTCGCGACTGAGTGACATTTTAAGAAGGTGAAGAAGCAAGCTAGGCAGGTAAGTGAAGGAAGACCAGGGCAGGCCCGGAGGACAAGAGCCCAGAGGTGGAGGTGGAGGAGAAGGCCCAGAAGGCAGGAGCAAGGCGCACAGACAGGAAGCAGGAGGTGAGGGCTGGGCAAAGGCTGCAGGTGCCAGATCACACAGGGCTCGGGGTGGGCAGAGAGCCAAAGGAACAGTTACAAAGCTGTTAAAACACCGAACCTACAGAGATCATGGGTTGCACTAGCACAATCACAGCGGAGGCTCTAAGAATTGGTCTCTTCGCTTGCATCAGGAAGGCAGAATGATGGATAAAAGATTTCAATACAGAGAACTAACTGAACACACTGTCACTGTACAGTGTCTAGCTTTCCAAACGCCGAAGCAGAAATATAACATGAGTTGCATTGCTAGGCTGAACTGAAACTTAAAAAATACAATGATGTTACCAAACAAGACTTCAGTATGCACAACTCAACTATTCAAATTTCCGTATCATCATACAGACTCAGGCATCCTAAAGAATGAAACAGATGCAAAAGACAACTTACTGTACTGGTCAGCGTGCTTATTTCTTGGTCAGCTTTATGCAATTTACTGATCAAAGACATATTTTGTTCACTGGTTGATTGCAGCTCTTTTTCCAGGCGTTCAGCCTGCAACTTGACCGATTGTTTTTCAGCCTTTTATTAAAACAAAATATTTTAAAATTTGTCCATAATTTTTCACAATATATCAAAATAAAATAAGCATTATTTAAAACTCATATGTAGCCACATAAAAAAGAATTCAAAACTCTAAAAACATTAACATGTACCAAAGCAACAAGAATTTTCTCAAAGCTGCTGCCCAGAGGTAAAGCCCCCTGTCTAACATACGGAGACCCTAATTCAATCTCTGGTACCAAAAACAAAACACAAAAACACACAATGCGTGTCCCAGTAAATATGCAACAAAGCTATCTGGGCAAACAACGTATCAATGGCCGCTAACAAAATAAAACCTCACAGATTTCTTTCATGAGAGCACTGCTGCCACTCATTTGAGGCTTGTTTACTCTGAATGCTGACACCATTCAATCGCACATGGGGCAGAGGGTTCTAGTTCACAGCAGCTATGAAAAAGCACATTAGAAGACAAACAGCAGAAGACTCACTGATGTAAAAAGTGAAAATTGAAATTTCAACATCAATGGAGATTTCTTTTAACAGGAGAAGTCAGGATAAGAATTCAAAATTCTCCACCAAGGTGGAGCCTTGTTGTTGTTGTTGTTGTTAGGTCATTTGTTTGTTGAGACAGGATATCCCTTGGTGGCTCAGGCTGGCCTTTAACTCACAGTGATCCTCCTGCCTCAGTCTCCTAAGTGCAGGGAGTATGGTGTGCATCACCACTCCAAGCTACATAATTAAGATTCTTAATAAAGTCTGTAAATTGTCAAAAATTTTCCTTTTAGTCATACTCAAAGCACTGTCATTACAGTGAGAAAACAAAAATACTTCTCAAAGTAAAAAAGTTTAGTATTTAAAGGATAAACTAGTATTTTAACACTTCACTTCCTATTTGTGTTAAATATAGTAAGAACTGTATTCAACAAATAATTCAGAGGGGGAAAAAGCTATTTTCTTCACATATAGAATTATATTTTCTGGGCATAATGAGAGCCAGAAAAGCTAAAGAAAGAAATATTTGCTGTCATGTACTATTTTCATCTGATAAATGATAAAATTAAATACAGGATCTTATGAAAATGCCATAAATGAACCATCTCTTTTGTTTATCATTAGGCTTGCTTTGAAAATAGTCACTCTAGATAAGTTCAATGAAAAGTTTCACAGGGATCAGGATATAGCTCAGCGGCATAAGCACCTGCCTGACAAGCACAAGGTCCTAAATTCGGTTCCCAACACAAAAAAAAGTTTCACAATGAGACAATATACTATACCCACTCTGTCACTGTGTAAATACATTAACGACAGAACATGGCCAGATAAACAATCTCACTCTCAACTGTCTCATGTCTAAAGTCCAGTAATATTGACAACTTTCATAGAGAAAACAGAAAACAGTGATACAACTTTCATGTAAAAAATTCATCAAGTGACTTCTCTTCAAAACACATTGATGTACTCTTGTGCCAGCTTCTGGATGGAAAAAATACCACCATTTTGGATTTGGATATTGGATTTTAATTACAAACTAGGTACACTACTAAATCATTTTCTTCTAACTCATTTCATGACTATTCAGAAGGATTAAAAAAATTTTTTTTGAGTTTTACAAAATAAAACATTAAATTGCTTTATTTGCTACCTGTTAGGCACATAACACAGGAAAAGTAACTGTGTCTGAATAAGACGGTTTTTACAAGTTTTTTACAAGGTAACTTCTCCAGAAGTAAGAATTTGGTTCTGATAACAATTAACTTTCTCTAACCAACTCGGAAATAATTCTGAAAAGATTTACTGTATGCAGTGGTACCTAAGTTAAACTTCATTATTCTGGCAAAAAGCTATCATAACATAAATATGGTATTTCTGTTCAAATAGGACTTACCGTTTTAATGTTTGAAATACCAGTATAAGGAATTTATAATGTCAAAAGAAATTTTTCTTTTTTTGGCTTGACATGACTATGACTTTAGTCTTCAGAGACTCAAATACAGTTGGGGGGATTTTACACATTCTGTGGCATTACAGGAGTTAAGTCACTTCAGGCAGGCGACTGGATTCTCATGAATAAATGGGGCAGCATAGCTACTGTTTATGAATCAATAGCTTTCTTCTTTATGGAAACAATACTATTGGGATTCTACAAATGCGTCAGCGTTAGCCTGGTAAGCATAGATTCATGCTCTAAAAATCAAAGCCTTGTCAATCGCACTTTTAAAAACTCTGCCCTAGTCTTCCGGGAAGCAATTAAAACCTTACCTCCAGGGACCTGACTGTAGCCTGCATCTCAGCCAACTGCCGCACCTGTATTCTCTGGACGCTTTCTACCTGAGCACCAGAATTCTCCTTTTCAGCCCTTAGTTCTGCTACCTCGGTCTCTAGCCCTTTTAATTTCTGACCCAAATGGGCTTTCTCTTGAAGAAGCTGCTCCACTCGCTTCATGTGTCTTGTGGGATCAACAGCGAGCAGCCGGCTATGGAGCTCTTCTTTATCTTTCTCCAGTCTCGCAACCTAATAATTTGAAAGAAAGCACACAGCCTTAAATTACTGGATTTTCAGTCACGAACATGCTTTGCAAGTCGGTAAATTAAAATTAAAAATGGGACAATACAAGTGCTCAGGTGGTGAAATGAAATAAAAAGGGAAAAACCTGAAACGTCACGTTCTTCATCCTACACTCAGCATGGCTCAAATGTGAGGGCCAGAACTTTGCCCTGCATCACTCCCACCCCACGGGGTCCAGCACAGTGTTTAATCAGTTGCTGACTAAAATTCAAAATTATAAATAATACCATAAAAGCAATTATTGAGCATACAGCAAGCATTTTTAACATTCATCAGAACATGATAGAAATTCATACAAGACCAATCATCGACTACGCCAAAGCTTTTCCGCATATGAAAGTAATTACTGGGCTTTCTATACTGATAAAATTATCTATTTTAAGGCAACTAATTCACATAAAAGCTGCTTTCTGTGTGAATAAATACAAATGTGACCAATCAAATTTTTAAATGCTAGTTGAGAGTTTGTTACCGTCCTAGTTGTATTGGTGGCCTGTTTCTTAGATCCATTACTCTAGGGTGCATGTGTAGGTCCCTGGGGAACTTGTAGGGCAGATACCAATACCATTCAGGACAACTGTCACTGCCAGATCCCACGGGCTTCTAAATGGCAGGTTGTAAATGGCTTCCTACCGTGGAAGCTCTTCAGAGGTTCCTTGTCTCTGGATGAGGGAAGGGGCAGAGCAACCAGGATAGAACTCATTTTTCCCATTTTGTGATTTCCCCAACTGTTTCTCTCCTACTGCCACTACCTCACCACATCTCCCTGTTACCCACCGTCAGGTCCTTGTTTTGTTCTGTTCTGTTTTGCTGGCAGTGTTGGGGATCAAGTCCAGGGCTTTGTGAATGCTAGGCCAGGGCTCCACCACTGAGCTGCACACCCAGCTCCCATCAGCTCCTCTTTTAGTCTCTTTGTACATTTAGAATCACTTTAAGTAGAGGACTTGGCAGTTTAAAAGAAAATTGGAAACCATCAATCTAATCAAGAGCAGGGGCCACTGTGAACCAGAACTCCCAAGCTCAAAGTCAGAAGGACTCTAAAGAAGTGACCCAAGAGACTCCTGACTGCTTCACAAAGCTACCAGTTAGTCTAAAAAAGCACAAGATCTCTACCCCAGTACAGGATGTTTGCCTAATCTGCAAAAAGGGAGTGAACTGGATGTACTCCAACATCCTTTTCCACCTCACTATGTAGAGACCCCAAGTTTCATCTTGGACATGTGATATTAAACATGACAGCAAGTACAGGCAGAGCTCTCTAGCAGGCAAGTATCTCTCCAGAAAACAAAATTTATCCTTGAAGGCACCTATAGCATTTGGAGGAAAATCCTCAAAAGCCCAATTACAGGCTGGCGTTGCTGCTTGGTGACAGGGAGCTTGCTACCATGTGTGTGTGAGGACCGAGGCTTGATCCCTGGCACCACGGGGCATGGGAAGGCCAGCTCATCAGTGTCGTCGTGCTCCTGTCTGTCTCCCCATGCCTTTCAGGTACTCACTACTCTTGGACTTAGTCCCTGGCTACCTTTTTTCCTCCAGCTAGCTGTGTGACTTTGTGCAAGTCACACTGTTCACCTTGCCTCACTTTCAGTGAAGGGGCTTACTCTGGATGACCTTTAAGAAACTATTCAGCTTTTGAATAAGGTAACTCAAGGGCTGGGCTTGAACCTGCCACCTTGTGCATCCTAGGCTAGCTTTCTACTACTAAATACCACCCTAACCCGTGTTATTAGTTTTCATGCAGTTTTATTAGAGGTGTGGCAGCTCATCATGCCTAGGAGTCAATGCATAACCGAGGTTCAGAAAAGGATGACCTTAACTGAGTGCTTATTCTGGATCAAGCCCCACCCTAAGTGCTCTTCATCAACAGTAACACTAATTTCTCTCGTAGTCCCCATTTTACATACAAGGTCACAGCTAAGTGCTTGACTAAGCGTGCCGTCTGTGGTACCACTTTCTCCACAAGCTTTGCGGAGCACTGGGGGATAGCTGAGCTGTTAAGACTGGATGATGGTGAACCAACGGCAGTCAGGACAGTCTCCACATTTATGATGCTTAAACCAGAATTCACATCACATCATTTCAACCAAAACTGATGATCAGTGTTTCCTAACTTTTATATTCACTTATTCATTCACACAATAAGTATTTGCTGAATACTTACTAAGTGGCCCCCCTGTTTTAGTTAGTAAGACTACAACCCAGCAGATATCAAACACAAAGCCTGTGCAGTGGAAGAGCCTATTACACTCAATCACTGCCATGACACCGCTCCCGTCTCATCCATCTGGGCCCAGATCTTGGACACCTCTCAGCTCTTTCCTTCGCCTCCACTCTTAATCAGATTCACATGCCATTTTCTTTGATGTCCTCCATTTGTTCTGCTTTCAATTCTGCCTCAAAGTTTCCAGAGGTGTTTCTCTGAATTTCTCATCTATGATATTTCTCCCAATCTGCCTGTACTGCAGCTACCTCCACATTACTTTATTTGCTTTTAGAATAGAAACTTGACAGGTAAAACAATATATTAACCAATTTTACTTTTCCAAAGGTCAAGTAGAAGAGACTACAGAAACAATCAGGGACTAAAAAGCACTGTTGATTTTCTTTTCAGAGAATAACTGTCCCGCCCGCATTCCCGGAAGCACAGAGCGGAGGCAGGGTGTCTAACTGTTCCAGCATCTTTGTTTTTTATCGCCCTTATGATGCAACACAGAGAACGGGTAAGTGATCAGTCTCTAGAATCAAACTTTCCTTTTCTTTCAGTACTTTAAAGATACAGCTGTACTTCTGGCTTGTATTATTTCCAAAAAGAAGCACACGATCGTGCTCTTTGTTTGTTCGTATGAAATATCTTTTTCTCTCCCTGTGGTCATTTTTCTTTAAATTAAATCTTTTCTCTCCATATGGTAGATTCCTATGCTAAGAACAGTTGCAGGGACAAACGCAGAGACCTGTGCAGCTCTGCCCCGTTTCCCACAAAGCTAACATCCCTCTTCTTCGGTTTTCTATAAGATACTATATAGAATTGGCCTTAATTTTTCTTTAAATAACTTACTACAATTCCTTACTGAAATTACTGTTTCTGGAGCTTTTCAAATTGTAAGTTAAAGGGTGAGAAGTATACCGCTCATTGGCAGAGCACATGTTTGGCACAGGCAAAGCCCTGGGTTCAATCCCCATCATCAAAAAATAATTATAGCTCAAACGTCCCTAACAGTGAACAGGCCTTTTCCAATTGCCTACTTCGTTCCGGGTAAGTAGTAGTTAGTGCACCTTTTGAAGAACTGGTCCATGTCGACTCATCTTCAAATGTATGTAAACGGGACTGTTCACAGGACTGTCTTATCCTTTACTGTATGCCAGGTCATGAGTGATACTCCATTTTGTTCCTGTCTCCTATCTTTTTGTCAGTGTCTTCTAAATTTTAAATGTTTTATTTTATTACATGTTGGCAGTTCATGCAGTCTGCAGTCATCCTGGGGCATGATTACACGTGCACACCCCAGCTCGCTTCTTTTCCTTCTCTTTTTTTGTTTGTTTAGTTGCTGTGGCCGGCTCCCTCCCTCCCCTCCCTCCTCCAATTCTCCTACCCTATTTTTCAGTCTTGCTGATACTGTTACTCTTAGCTCATGTTATGGTATGTACTGTTCACAGTCATTGAGGTTCATGCATATGGCGCACTTTTATTCTATCTACTTCCTTCCCCTCCTCCACATCCCTGCGCTTATTCCCTGTGACCACATCTCTACTGCAAGAGCTCCAGGTCCTTGCCTCTTTCACCAAAACGCCTGCTGAGGGTATCAGTCTACAAGTTTATGGTTGCCGGAATCCCTGCTGCGGGTTATCTGTCCAAACCTCCTGGCAACAAGGCACAAGGACACAAAGGAAAGACAAAGAGAATATTCTGCAGTTAAGGAGCTCTGGATGACCCAATGTTCTCCATGGAACAAACGACCTCCTCTCCAAAAGCTTCTGGCTGTTACAGGTATCAATCTGGGAGGTGGCAGGGGTCTTGGCAACGTCCATAAGGAAAAGAAACTGGTAGCTACACCAGGCACAGAGGTGTCCAGTAGCAGTGCACGGATAGTTTTAATGTATGCAAGGCTGCCCCCTTTACTGCCAGGAACATGTTTCAATGTAGCCGGCCCCACATAGCTCAGCAATAAGGTAAAGGAGCAGTCAGGGACAGGTTGCGGCCAGGGCTCTGTTTTTCAGGAGACAAGCAGCATGGTGATCTCCCACAGCCTTCTATTCTTTTTTCTTTTCTTTGATGTGGGGAGGTCAGTTGCCATAGAGGTCTGTCAATTTTATCACTTTTTTCCTAGAATCAGCTCATTTCACTCACTTTCTCCATTGTTTTTGGTTTCACTTTTATTGTTTCCTTTCCGCTTGTTTTGACCTTGATAATCTTTTTTTTTCTAGGTTCTTCGGGTGGGAGCTTAGATTACTATTTTCCCCTTTCTGATGCATTCATCTTAGTACTATATATTTGCCTCTAAGTACACTGCTTTAGCTGCATACTGAGAATTTTTAGATGCTGCACTTCCTTTTTTATTCAGTGCACTTTTAAAAGATTTATTGAGTGTCTATGGTCTGCATGGTCCTTTATTAGATACACTGAAATTTAAACACAAACCAGACACAAGATCCTTGGCCTTGGATACTGTGCAAACTAATTAGTATAACAGATTAAAAACAGCATACAGACAAATTACACGTTAATGCTCAGTTATCAGAGTCAACATTAAAGAGCTATAATTTAAGTGTTTTAGTTTGGGGTTTGCAAGGAAAACAATTATATACAGGACACACAATTTATAGTATTATTATATAATGGTCACTCAAAGAGTTAAATACAAGAAGTGCAGGAAATCTGTCCATACACTAAACACCTAGAGTATCAAGCTGCGAGCCTGGATCCCTTGGTAATATCCTGCATGAGTTCA